AAAAAGAAAAAATATTGACTAATAATTCAAATTGGAGGTCATGGTAATATTTTTAGTATGCTAAATAACTCAGTAATAATTTCATTTTAATAAAAATAAAAATAAAAAATTTTAAATTTTAGTTGCATAATATATGAATGTGATAAATTGAAAGATGAGAAAAAATTATTTTTCATTTGTGCAATTTAAAATTAAAAAAAATGATAATGAATTTATCTCTTCTTTGATGCATCAATAATGATAACAAGAATCTAAGTTAGTGAAGACTTTTATTTATAACATTTTTTTCTTTGATATATAGATGCTTGGCCTTGTTTGAATTTGGAAAAAAGGATTGCTCCTCTCATAATGGAACTGTTAGAACGGCAAAAGAAAAAGACCGTAGACATTGAAATAACACCATGAGAAAAAATATCATAACTAGCAACTGTTTTTTTTTTTATATAAATCATATATATCTATTATTTTTAAAGGTTTTTAGCAAGTACAAGTCTAGAATGAAAATGACAATGGTGGAAAATTGAGAATTGAATTAAAAATTTAAAAATTTATCTTTTTAAATATTAATATTTGTATTCGAAAACGAATTATATATTCACAATGAAATTTGTTTCTAAATATAAGTATTAACGGTTAATAAGATAAATTCTTAAATTTGAAATTAAGTTTTAATTAAATAAAATAACATAATTTGAGGTTAAGATTCTAATTTATTTTAAGAGTCAAAATTAATATGTACTTTTTTTCATATATATATATATATTTATTTATAAGAATAATGCATATCAATAACCTCAAATAAAAATTGGAGTCTCAACCTTAAATTATATTATTTCATTTAATTAAAATTTAATTTAAAATTTAAAAATTTATCTTAACAACTATTGATATTTAAATTTAGAAACTAACATATTAAAATATATAATTGATTTCTAAATTTAAGTATCAGTCTGATTTCTGAATTTTGAATTGAGATCATAGTGCCATAACTAAGACTCAATTATGTCTTTTGTTAATTTTGAATGAGAACTTTTATCTACTTAGTTAGATCAAATCAAAATTTTGTGTGCAAAAAAATCAGAAGGAGGTTATTTTCTCCGGAGTTGCATTTATAAAGAGCCACAGAACTTGGGTCTTCTCTCAATTTTTGACTATCACAAACTTTGATGACTAATTAAAATTAAGGATTTTGAGGATGACTATGTTTTTTCACTTGATTAATCGAAAGACATCAGGGCAAAACTACTTTGTTTTTTATTTATAACTCATAATTGGGTTCAAATTAAAATAATAATGATGGCATAAATCTAAATCTTAACTTATCTAAAGACTTTTATTTATAACCTTCACCTTCTTTGATTAATATAATACATCCCTTACTATTTTTATTACCCATTCAAATTCATTCTAAGATGATAAAAATATAAAAAATTAACAAGTACATAAAGTTCAAAATGAAAATGGTAGAAAATAACTAAGTACATGCTCTGCTCACCCTATATAAGGTAAGTGATTGTAAATTGCATTAAATAATCTTTTAATGTTAGTATTTATCCATTAATATATGTTATATATATGTATATATGTATATATATATAGAAATACAAATAAATAATCTTTTTAATTAAATTATTAATTCTAATTTTTAAATAAAAGGAACACCCCTTTATATCACGCCATGGTAAAGGTACCAGTCACGTTAATAATGTGATTGTAATTGTTAATTACTCCATCTCATTTCAAACTTCAAAGTAGAAAATAAGAGAGAAGTTGGAAAGTTGCTTTGAAAATGACATCCACCATAGGTAAATGTTACATTCTATATTTATTTAGTTTTGTTTTGGCGGAATATATTTAATTATTTGTATATATCTGAATTCGGAACACGCTATATATACTCTTCTGGAGTACTCCATTTTGCCAAACAAAGATATGGGGTTCTTCACAATGCACTCTCCGCCACTCTGCCTCCTTTTCTTCTTCCTCTGCCTTCTCATCCTCTTCACATGCTTCTTCCTTCTCAACAACACATCTCTGCTCTCATGAGGAGGCTGCTGCCTTGTTGCAATTCAAGACTTCCTTTTCCATCAATTACACTCTTTCTCCTTTTGATTCTTTATGTGCGTACTTTTACGACACCAAACCTAATCATTCTAAGACTAAGTCCTGGAAGGTAGGTATAGACTGCTGTTCTTGGGATGGGGTTAGGTGTGATAATGTCACAGGTCATGTAATCGCCCTTGATCTCAGCTGCAGTCTCCTTTCTGGTACCTTTCCTTCCAACAGTACTCTTTTTCTCCTCAAAAACCTGCAGAGCCTCAATCTTGCCTTCAATGATTTTAGGCTTTCCAAGATTC